CCATGAAAATTATGCAGAAAAACGGTTTGTCCCTAGAAGTTAGACCTTGCCACTTGATTTGCATTCTCAGTTTGCATCTCATTACCAAAACTTTCTCCCACTTATTTATTTTTGCTTATCCCTGATAGTCTGTGGCAAGCCTATCAACTTAACTGTTAAAATCTTGGAGAAAACATTATTAAACCATCTGGGCTAGATATTCAGGCTGGCCCATCTGCTAGAAAACTCCACCACAACTTCCAAAATCTCCAGATCTCTTCTCCCTTCTTATTCACCTGGCATGGTCCCATTTTCACCACCATGTCATAGTTTAGTTCCTTCACTAAGCTCTTTGCACAAACAGATTCAGAAGTGAAAATCTACAATCATGCTGCCGATACTGCTCAGGTCTTGCTTTTGATGTGGCTCAATATGAGAGTCAGTAGACATTATTTATTCATTACTATTATTATTATTAAAGAAGACATTTTATGCTTTTTCTGTTATTTATTATGAGACTAAAATATTATGTAGATCATTGATTTAAAAAAAAAAAAAAAAAAAAAAAAAAAAAAAAACAGCATTGAGTTTCAAAACTGCAGAGAGATGAAACTGCAAGAATCAATTAAAACACAATTTAGATTCAATTTAGGTTGAGGGAATGTTTTAAAAGTGCACTTTGTAACCTTTTAGTTGGAGATCCGTCACCTGCTTGTTTCTATGGCAAGGTCACTGCTCTGCTTGGAATGTTCCACAGTGTGACATTAAACAACGCTACCTTACATTTCTTCAATTACAGGTGTGACTTACAAAAACAGGCATTCTGACTGTGTTGTCTCTCCACAGACTTGTAACTTTGTTTGGTCTCAATGAATATGGAAAGATTTAATGCCATATTGTGTAACATACTGTGACACAGCAATAACATCATGAAGAAAAAGTGTTTGACAGATCCTCCACCAGAAAAGTTGTACAATGCACCTTTAAAAAGTTTTGATTTTACACAATATGTCCCTACACCACATACTCAATACAATGGTGACACAGTGTCCTTAAAGCCCTTAGGCACTGCACAAAGATGGATTTTAATCAGCCTGCCTCTTTCAATCCCAGTAAATGCCATTTTTATTGAGTATTGATCAGCACACACTGAGCCAAAGTAATATTTGGGAGAAGCAAGTTATGAGAATTATGAAATGGTTTGATTTGGGGTCTCAGAGGTGTGTGGGATTTCATCATAGTTAAACCTGATGAGTGTTTGCATTGATTACATTTCAAACAAAGAATGACACCATTTAAACCAAGTCTTCAGGATGTACATATTTGTAGTGTGGAAACAATAACAGATCACAGAATTATTAAGAACTTGAACTAAGTCAGAATTGTTGTCAAGATATGGTGCACCAGAAATCAATGTTTATAGTTGAATAAAGGCTCTATCCACTTAGACTCAAAGCTATAGTACATTACAAATGCCAAATAACTTCCCAATTTTTTCAGACCGGGACCCTGAAAATAGCCATGCAAAAAACTCAAAACTCCCACTGTGAATTGAAATTGAAAGTGGTTTTGATTTTAAGTGTGAAATCATGTTAATTCAGGTGTTAATTTTAAAAAGATTTTGTTTAATTGAACCCAGTTTCACTAAATACAGTTTCAGCTTAATAAAATTTATATTTAGTCTTGAAATCATCTTTTGACTCCAAACTCAATACCTCATGACTGGAATCCACTGCTTTTAAGTATTATTTAATAGCTAATCTGACACTTGCTGTGCTGCCTGTTAGCAAATGTAAAAGATGAATGTAACCAGAGGCAACGCACATTTAACCATCAATATTTAAAGGGCTCATATTCTGATCTGTGTTACTATAATGTTGTTTTCTCATCAAAAACATATCTGGAGTTGTGTTTTGTTTCATTCACACGTTTAACTTTGGAGATGTGGACAGATTAATAAACCAGGATTAGTCAAACATGTGTGAATGTACTAAAACACAACTCCAGTTATGGATGAGTTAACGACATTATAATATGACTTAAAGTTCACAAGATTCAGTTTTGTGTAATATGGGACTTTTAAGGTTATTTTTGGAGCACTTGGTTACAACTTGGTTCATGAGCATGAGTTTTTGCTATGACTTGACAAATGGCTCAGAATACACTGTATAGACTAGTATGAGATTCAGCAGACTTCAGAGGGCACATTCAAATATCAATTCATGAAGAAAGATTGACTTTCCCAATTTACACTTGCAGCCGTTTGTCACACTTATGTGACAGTTTAAAATCGCAGGTGAAGGTTACAGCTCATGCCTTGGCTCCATCTTTCATCTGAAATGCAGTTTATTTTATGTTACCTCAATCTTTTCTTCGTCATTTGTTTAAAGCCCATATTGCTCTATTTTCTGATTTCTGTTATAATCTTGTTTCTTCATCACAAACACCTGGAGTTGTGTTGTTTCTTTGATGTTTAACATGTTTAACACACAAATACTGCATATTTAGGCTGACTTCTTGTCTCAAACAGAAAACACTATATACAGGAAGTGCTCCATTGTGTTTTTAAACTCCATACACATTCACTAGAATCATTTGGATTACTTCATATCTGGAATTGTCAATCTCTACTGAACAAATGTAATAGGTTAACTTGAATACTACCACTACAGGTCTTCACAAGGTGGAACAGAACATTTTGAGCTTTGGAGATGTAGACAGACTAATAACAAAGCATTACTCAGACATTTGGGAATGAAACAAAACACAACTCCAGGTATGTTTTTGAAGAAGTAACAGCATTACAACATGGCTAAAAGCTTGCAAGACTCAATTTTGTGTGATAAAGGACCTTTAAAATAAATGAGATTACTTGAGGTCAGGGTAAGGTTGCATACAAAGGTAATGAACAAGGTGATGTATAAGCTTATTAGGTGTCAGGGTCATCCCATTATGTGTCTTAAAATTGTATAAGACTTGAGCATTATGACATGCACTGTTGCCCTTTGAGTTGAAAAGAGAGGTTACAGTAATAACAAGATTATAAAACTTTATTGATTACCTCTGGAGCTCAAATTCATAAAGTAAATTTGACACATCTCATATAAGCAACGTTATGGCACCATTACTTTCTATATTTTCACCAAAAGAACGTTTTCAATCAGCTGTGGCCATGACTTTATTTATACAAATGATGAAGTGTGTGTAGGCCCACTGTTAAATAGCAAATTACATGTTCATCAACATTCCCGAAAACAGAATTATGGAGTTAAGGTGTTTGAGCTGTTGATTTTGGGATGCAAGATCAAATTTACATTCCACTTACACATTTGTCAAAAGAAATAAACGGTAGCGGCTGACACATCAGTCAAGGAAGCACGACTGGTTTTCCCTTTGGAAGCAACACAGTGGTAAACAGGTGATGGACAATATTAAACCCAAGGGGGAGAGGGAGTGACAACAGATTTATGCGTGAGTGAACTTCCATCGGGCCGGAGCCATCAATTCTGCATCTTTGCCAGTGGCTGGAGATGTTTCTGTAACCCCTGTCTCTCTTTCGCACATCCTTCCATCCAGTCACTGCTCGCTGCTAAGTGCTCACACATTTACATTTGAGTGCTGCTCTGTAATAAAAGAGGTGCTGCTAAAACAAACACCAGTCCAGGCTCGGCCACTGCCCACAGTGCAGGTCAACAGTGTAGCGGTTTGAGTCTCCATCATTTCATTCCCCCATTTCCCTTTTCACTACCAAGAAACATCCCCTCATATTAAGATACACTTGTCATTCTATAAAGGAAACATTGAGCATACAGAGTAACTTACCCAGAGAACTAGCCTGTTTAACAAATGAGCTTTTCAAATTAGGTTTCACTGATTGTAATAAATTATTTTATTGTTCGTGCTATCACAACTTTGCAGCTGTAAAACCCCATAGTAACCTCACAGAGTCGTGTGGATGAGCTCTATAACAGTGTGTGTGTGACAGCAGCTGTCAGTTACAGGTCTACTCCACCTTTGCTTATCCCCATGTCTCTGCCCACTTTTATATATGTTTTTCCATCTAGGTTCTAGGGTAGTTACTTTTTGTAGTATGGAGGAAATCAAAATCAAAACACAGTATGACTTTACTAAAGTAATTTGCACACAAACACACAAATCAAAAGACAAGACTAAAGGTCATACATGCTGGTCATTCTAGAGATCATAATCTCCTTTGTACTATCAGATCTGCTTTGGATGGAAACAATATGGATCAAAATAAGCCAGACAAAAACATTACATAATAAAATAACTACATAAATAATTAACAGCTGTGCATGAGTCGAGTCACTGACAAACCACTGATAAAAATAGCAAAGCATTTTTTAAACACAGCCTGTTCTGTATTCAAGAAAATTATCTACACATGTGCGGCACCACTGTCTGATGCAACACTACAATACTGAACTCAGAGGTATCACCGAGGCAACCCGCCCTGATAAGACGCTCGCCCTGCCAGCTAATGAAAAACAAGCCTACTTTAAGACATGTGGTTACTGGGTTTGTTGAAATAGAACGATTCACAGCTTCACAAAGCCCTTTCCCTTGGATAGCTGGTAGGGCACATCGATATAGTTGAGGCATTTGGGACAATGAGTTGATAACACTACGCACTGTTTATGGAGGAATGAATGACCGTTTGTGTGTGCGATTAGGAGCTTCTCTCTCGCTTTGACCTTTCTATAGCATTTACATTCACTGCCTACATGTCAGAGGAAAGAGCAGAAATTAAAAGTTACTAAGGTGGTGAAGAAACAGTCAGCTGTGCATTTACACCTGGGGCACCGGTTTCTGCCTCCTGCTGAGACTGTTCCCACGCAGTTTGTGGAGCCAGTTAATCACACACTTTTCATTGCCACAAACAGCAGGTCATTTTGGAATGGGAGACCAGAAGAAGGCACAGAGGGGTTCTTCAGTGTTCATGCGAAGGGAAATTGTGCATCTATACAGTCTGTTGTTACCACGGTGACAAGTCTAGTGCATCATGTGTAACAGTAGTCAATGTCTGGGATCCCCCCTTCTCTATAGCCCCTGTTGGTGCCATGTCCTGAATTGGAGACACTGTTGGCACCTTTATATAGGCCAGTGCCGTTGGATGGGAAAATGGTGTGAATGATGTAATCCTCTCGTAGTGGTTTAGGCTGCATCGGTGGGCAAGCGGCCATTGGCGTCATCTGAAATCCCGGACCTCGGATTTCCAAAATAGTGTTGTCCTTTTTTGTGCCAGATTCAATGTAATCATCATAGGTCTTGCTTTTTCTAGAGCTGTTTCTAGTGTAATGGTCACGGGAGCATAAATGTCCAGTCCTATGGCCATACCAGCAGAAGAAACCAAATATAAGAGCCAGAGATACAATCGCAGAGGCACCACCAATGATTCCTGCTAAAGGTAGATTTACCATCTGTTGAGACTCATCATCCTCCTCTTCTTCCAGTGAGCTGAGATCAGAGGTTTCAGCTTTGGCACACACCAGAGCTTCATCAGACTCTGTGGGTATTCCTCCTTTGCTTTCTGCAGGCAGTGGGACCATGCAGATGATGTAACTGGAGCGTGGCTGCAGGGCTGTGAGCAGGTACTCACGCCTGTCACCTCTCACCAGGGTCTCTGTGATGGAGCCACGGTTATTCTCATTGCCAAGTCGAAGCCAGCTGAGCCTGAAGGAGGAGCTGGGCTGGGCCACGCTCCAGGTCACACGCACGCTGTTGTGGGACAGAGGCTTCACATTAAGAGCCAAGCTCTTGCCCACTCCACTGCTGCTCAGAGTGTAGTCCATGTCAGGCAGCACCGGGCCTCTCTTGTTGGAGCGCAGGGTGAACAGAGAGCCCTGTGGAGGGGTTTGGGTGGTGGAGATATCCATGCCTGTTTGAACTCTGTTTGTTCTGTCTGGAGCCCTGATGACCTCACATTCCTCCATCTCGCTGCCCAGGTCCATGAGGGGTGTGTCCCGCACACGGTCAGGCGTCATGCAGGTCAGGCCCCTCACAGTAATGCCGTTGCCACGGGCCTTGAGCCAGTCATACAGCCAGCGCAGGTTACACCCGCAGTGCCACGGGTTCCCCCGCACCAGTAGCTGCGCCAGGCTGTCCAGGTCTTTGAAGAGGCCTCTAGGCAGAGTGGTCAGGTTGTTCCCAGACAAGTCCAGCCTCTGTAGTCTATGCATACCGTCCAGGGATCCGCGTGGGATGTGGATCATGGCATTCTCCTGCAGGGACAGGCGCTGGAGGTGCGAGCTGGGCAGGTTCACAGGAGGAGTCTGAAGAGAATTACGCACCAAGGACAACTCCGTCAGATTGGAGAGGCGAGAGAACGTGTCATCTGCAATGCGCTGGTTTGCTAAGAGATTCCCATCAAGAACTAAACATCGGAGTGAAGCCAGGCCCCGGAAAGCGTGGGTTGGAATTGTAGAGATGCGGTTGTCATCCAGTCGGAGCTCCTCTAAAGAGGCAGGCAGTCCAGAGGGAATGCTGGATAAGTGGTTACGGGACAGAAAGAGCAGCCGTAGACGGGGGTTGTCTGCAAAGGCTTGGTCCTCAATGCTAACAGTGGAAATGGAGTTATCGTCCAGATGGAGCTTCTCTAGTAAAGGCATCCGGGCCAGAGCACTGCGAGGGATGGTGCGGATGTTGTTATCCTGCAGATGCAGCTCTCGAACAGAAGGGGGCAGGTGTAAAGGGAACTCATCCAGTTCATTGTCATAGAGGTAGACCACGCGCACGGCCAGGTGGTGCTCCAGAGAAGTGGGGAGGCCAGGGTTATTGATCTGGTTATTCTGAAGGTAAAGCACTGAGGCAGTGGGAGGCAGTGAGGGGATAGAGCTCAACCCGCGGTCATTACAGTAAATAAAGTCTTCATCACATCTGCACACAGAGGGGCAAATGTCCCTGTCTCCAATGTATCCTTGTATAGTGGCTGTGGCCGAGTGCAGAGCCACACACAGAAGGACCTGGAGTACTGCCACACCTCCAGAGGCCATCGCGGACAAAAGAAGTTCTGTTTCTCTTGTTCAGGTGTGATGTTAATCCTTAAATCCTCACAGAGAGATGGTGTCCTGTGACCTCCACCCTGAAAGACACATACAAGACAAATAATTATTATAGGTTTGCAAATGCTCAACACAATTCCATTTTACAAATATTTGTTTACAAAATTACTGCTTGTTTTATTTATTATGTAAATGTACACATGGACGACACTCAGGCAGTTTAAGTCTCTGACAAATTTGAGACACTGACTTGCAGCCAAAAGACACAAGTGTTGTTTGAGCCAGCAATCATTACGCAGAATTAGGAGCAGTAATCCAAGATTATAGTCCTAAAACTGAAGACAGAGAGTGGGTAAGCAGAGGCAGCACAGTGATTATTTTATTGTAAGAAACTCACTGTCTAAATAAGTATTCAATTTTATATTTGGAGGCTAAACTTGTGCATGTACTGAGAATATTCTGAACCTAAATAATAGAGGAGATGTTGAGAGACTTAGCCCCATTAGGAGGTGTGAGCAGATGGCTGTTCACCAAAGAGAGCAGAAACACTTGTTATTATCAAGAGGAACAGCGTGTTTTAGTTCAGATCCAACAACTTGAAGAGCTGCATACTCATCAGAGTGACATGATAATACTCTGCACTACATTTAGCACTATGTGGCTATCTGTGTCTCTTCTGCTACACTGTGCTCTACTGCACAATATCTGTGAAATACACGAACAAGAACAAGAAGCCAGTGCAAGAGAAGGTAAATTATCACCATGGACACTGAGAGTGACATGAGAAGCTCATCACGAGCCTCACTAACCGCTCACATTAGCCTAAGTGTTGGGCCCACACTGCACAACATATTCAGCCTGTACTATTGATTTGCTCACAAATCCAAGGTGATCTGCCACAGAAGAGCTCAGCTCTCATGCAGATTACACTATTCCCCCGAGCACCAGTCGGGCAGCATGATAATTAACTAAATGAATGACAACTTTGCAGGAGAATGACTTTGTTGGATCTATATTTGCAAACATTAATCCCAATGCACTTATCTATTACAGGGCTGCATTCAAATGAAGAAAAACAAACTTGGTTGACATGATATTTATTTTCAAAGTTAAAAATATATTAATGAGAGAATAGAATTAAATAGATAGGTTCCTTGATGTACACTCCAAAATATAGCATGACAAACTGAAAAGATTTTGACATCGACAACTGAATCTTTCATTTTCTCCATCCATTTTGCAGCTCTAACTTTTACGGTGGTCCAACTGTGCTAGATTCTAAAATGGGAGCAGCATTTGTGTACAGTGCCCCCAGCTTTTTTTCTCTGTAAGTTCAGATGCTTCTCGGTAATCCCTTTTACGCGCCTTTTCCAACTTCAATCCCCTCGCCACACTGGAGAGGTATCAGAGCCTGCAAAGTGAAAACTGAGGAGTAAAATATTTAGGCAATGCTATGAGTACAGGCTGGTGTAAAGGAGAGCTCTGTGTGTGGTCACATGTGAGGGGAGATATGAATGATAGTGACGGCATTTTACGAGAAACTCCACAAAAGTGCGAGTGGTGCTAAAGAATGGATGACTTTAGGATCCCGGGAGCTTTGGCTGTGAGAGTCTTCAGCTCAAGAGTATTTGGGTCAGCCCTTTAAAAACAAGATAGATGCAGTGAGGGACCGGAGTGCATGTGGCTAGCCCATGAGATTAACAGAGCATATTGAGCTGTGATCCTTTGGCTTAAGCAGGTGCTACAAAGAAATGCACACAGACATTTTAACGAATTGCCTTTGGTTGTTGGTCATTTCACTGCTGCTATTGTGTAGTATAATGTAAAGGGCATACAGGGGTACTTTGCGGGACTGGCCCAGACGAACAGGCTCTGTGTTTGTGTACCCAGCCGAGAGGGCCCGGGGGGATGTGTCATTTTATTATTCTGAAAAGGGACAGCAATAAAGAGGGATGGTTAGAAGGACAGGTCCTAAGGGTGAACACAGAGAAAGTGGCTAAAAATTGATGTGAAAATATTGATGATAAAATATGTGTCACGGGGTTATCCAGATTGGGATGGCCTATTTTCACTAAGTGCTCAATATAAAAATGCATCATATGGACTCAAGGTTATTCTTTCTTTCTACACAGATAAATCATAATAAACTGCATTCCTTTAAAGGTTCTATATTACACAAAGCTGACACCAGTGAGCTTTAACCCATGATATAATGTTGTTACCTCCTAAAAAACATACCCAGAGTTGTATTTTGTTTCATTTCCACATGTTTGAGTAATCCTTTATTATTAGTCTGTGTACATCTCCAAATCTCAAAATGCTCTGTTCCACCTTGCAATGTCATGTAGTGGTATTTTTCAAGTTAATAGTTATGCTTTACCTTTAATTCACGAGCAATTTCAGGGCTGAAACCATTCAAATGATTCTAGTGAAAGTGTATGGAGATTAAAACAGAGTGGATGTCTTTCTATATTACCACAAGGCATCACTAGTTTTCTATTTGAGAGAAGAGCTCAGACTAAATATGAAAAATTTCTGTGTTAAACATGTATGAATGAAACAAAACACAACTCCAGGTATGTGTGTGATGAGGAAACAACATTAAAATATAGATCAGAAAAGAGCTAAAGTTTAAGGTTGTGTGTAAATGATAAACATGCCGACTGATGCAAAACTAATCAGAACTAATGAGGCGAAGAGCACCTTGTCCTGTCATTTCTAGGAACAGAGATAGGAAGGTGCATGTTTAAATATTGATATACAGATTTAAAGAAAACTATAAATGCGCATTACACTGCCTTATTCCTTTGTAATATTATCATCTGAGCCAATAATAGATTTGTGGATGGCTGGCCACATAAGGGGGTCACGGGACATTAACCCATATGTTCAGATCTATAGGCTGTGATTGAGTCTTCAGTGCTGCAGGGGGTCAACAGTGGATGTGGGCCAGTGTGCGTGAGCCAGACAGAGCGCCGCCTCAGGCTCTGTCCATTGCACAACAACCCCCTCGTACTGGAACCAGGCTCATCGATTTACATAGAGGACAGAGACACGCGGGGGGACAGAGTGACAGAAATCGGCTTTGAGCAAAAAAAAACAACACTCAAATCCCAGTCACCATTAAGACATCCACAGAGACATGGGAGAGACGACAAAACGGATTTTGTTTGACCAAAGGGGCTGCAGATGCATCAGAAAATCCACTTTGCTGATGGCCAAGCAAAGATAATACTGCTCCAAAGCTTATCTCCTAGCGTGCATTTTGGACATGTAGACGAGATGACATAAAATGGGACAGCAATGTTGACAGAAATGAAATTCATCGTCATAAAGTATGTTGGATCGACGTGGCGTGGTCTATTCATTTGGGTTAACCATAAAAACTGTTGAAGTCTTTTAATTCATGTGATGGGGCTGTCTCTGCCGTAATATACTGCAATCTCCAGTCGATTAAAATAAAAAACTGTTTAGCAAATCCCGAAGCAAAATAAACACCAATACATTCTATCTCCTTATTTCTCTTTTCACAAGGCAGACATCAAAATGATCAGCTGTCACATAGCTAAAACTAATGCCACAATGCAGCCATCAAAGCACATAAAAGGGGGAAAGAGGGCATCTATATTCAGCTTATGACATATTTTCAAAGCAAATGAGTCGTGACTGTTAATAAATTATAATACGTTTTGTTTGATTTAGCAGGGCATTAACACAGCAGATATAAAGGACACATATTACACTGTTTTCTGATCTTTGTTATAACGTTGTTTCTTCATCGAAAACAAACCTGGAGTTCAAAAACACTCTGTTCCACCTTGTGCTTCACTGCGTTTTTAAACTCCACACACCTTCACTAGAATCATTTGGATGATTTCAGCTCTAGAATTGCCTAAATCTACTTAACAAATGTAAAAGCTAGCTTAAAAAAACTACCGCTTCATGACATCATAACAAGGAACAAGCATTTTCAACTTTGGAGATGTAGACAGACTTATAATAAAGGGTTAAGCAAACGTGTGAGCGAAAAAAAATCCCCACACAACTCAGGGTATCCTTTGATGAGGTAACAGTGTTATATCATGGCTTAAACCTCACAAGAATCCATTTTGCGTAATATAGGGCCTTGAATAAATTATAATACATGTTGTCTGATATAGTGGGGCATTAACACAGCAGTTTTAAATCTTACTTTGAAACACGTCTATGCCAATACTATAGAGGCGGATTGAATAACATGAGCTGAATAAGTCATGCACAGTCCAATAACCATTTTTTTCTTGCACCAATTTCCTGGCATGAAGGAGTGATTAGATTTGCACTCAGCAGTTTCTCCTTTCAAATGCTGACACAACGACCCTGGTTCAGTCACATGTACAAAGATTTGTGTTTCTGTAATAAAGGGCCGCTTTATTGACGTGTCTACATAAAATTAAATGCCCCTATTTGAGTACACAGAGCTTATATGAATCTAATAGGAGTCTAAAGCACTGGGGATTGGAGATTGTGAGCAGGGGCAGATGGTACGTGTATTTGAATATGCTGTCAGCAGAAATGCTCAAAAATGATTAATAATTTAAAAACAAGTGGGACCATTAAATACAAAATTAAACTGATTAGACTGCAAGATCTAATACGAATAGAAAAAAGCACTCAGTCTTCACCATCACAGAAAAAAACTGTGCTAATTGAACTATCTCTAGGCACAAAAAAGACTGTATCGATCATGGCAAATATAAGGACCAGATCCACGTTCATAAAAATTTCTGCTTAAAAGTGCACTGTGATGTATAATCTCTGAAAAATTTCACATAAACCATCTCCAATGCAATAGAAGCACAGAACAGAGTCACGATCAGCAGAACATCCCTCTGTAACAGAAAGAACACACATACTCCACTGATTCTTGTCCTTAATCCAATAGAAGTTGACTGCATCAGCAACACAAAGAGCGCTAATCGTTTATGCAAATTAGCCATGTGGTTTTAAGT